GATTTTACAATGTATAGCGCCATCATGTGGCCATTGTCTACGAGTTTTATGCTATGACCTTAGACTGACCTCTTGCATATGTGTAACAAGTTTGGTGAAGATATTTTAATTCCTTCATGAGTTATGGCTATTTTAGCTCTTCTTAATAAAAATGACAAAAGAGCAGTGAATAAGCTATTAATGATCTCCTACTGCCATCTAGTGGCCACAGTGTAATTTATTTATGTGATTACAGCCATTTAGGTGTGCATAAACATATCCCTTCTATAATTGAGCATGTTCTAACTATATAAAATGAAAAATTTGTATTTTATTAAAATAATTAAAAATCTACAGAGTAAAAAGTGTGAAAAGCTTTGACTAAATTTGATCTTAAATGCATTAACTGTGTTCATGCCATGTCAGTTTGGGATTCAGAATGCATTACATAACATTACATTACATTCTTTGCTATAGAGCAGTAAAATAAACAATAAGTGGTCTGTTACTGCCATCTAGAAGCCACAGTTGTGATTTTCTTTACATATGTTTTAAAACAAGGTGTTTAATTATAGAACCAGTTTTACCTATTAGAATTATTATGAAGAGGTTAACTGGGACCAAATTAGATGTTTAATAAATAACAGTGTTTACATCAGGTCAAAATGTGATTCAGAATGATCCTAAATGCAATTTCCCTGACTTTAAACTCAAAAAATGTAAAACAACAAAGGCATGCAAATGTTTTGAACAATAAATAAGTGGTCTTGTTGTGACATCTAGTGGTTAGAAATGGTAGGTGACAGTTAAAAGTCTGTGTTATAGTGGCTAAAATGATAGAATATTGAAAATGTGTTTTTGAGACCTTTAAACATCCAAGATGGACAAAAAAATAACTTATAAATCATTTCAGTGATAAGTGTGTAAATAAAGCACATTTACTTCATTTTTAAGCCATTTTAGCATGTTTTTAGAACCATTTCCACTAATATAGCGTCACCTATTGCCCAATCTCCACAAGATTTTGCATGTTTATTCATATTGATATGCCACATCTGCTCACCAATTTATGTGATGTTTTGGGTTTTCCTTATTGGTTTACAGGCATGTAGGTTCGTGTAGACACGCCCCTTTTGTTAATGAGCCTGTTACAGCTATCTAAAATAAAAAGTTCAACCTTTTTTTGATAATTATTGATCTACTCAGTCCAAAGGTTTATACAACACTGGTTTCGTTGCGATTGAGTTAAAAACCAGGGACTAGTTCGCAAAAGTAGGTTTTGTTTATATTGATGGTTTTTTAATGAACAGTTTGAGTAACACCAGTGGTTTTAGTCTCAAACTGTTCAGTATGAGCAGACCTATCATATGATATGTAGATTAAGTGATTTTTGTGAAATAGTATGTAAATGAAGCAAATTTACCTTATTTTTAAGCGATTCAGCACTATTTAAAGACTATTTTTGCTATTATAGCGCCACCTATGGTTTGATCTTCACAAAATTTTGCAAGTTACATCTCGTTGACATGCCACATCTGCTCACCAATTTCTGTGTTGTTTTGGGCTTTCCTTATTGGTTTACAGGCATGTAGGTTCGTGTGGACAAGCCCCTTTTGTAAATGAGCCTGTTACAGCTAGCCAAAGTGAAAAGTTCAACTTTTTTTTGATAATTATTGATCGACACAGTCCAGAAATTCCAACAACACTGGTTTCGTCGCGATTGAGTGAAAAACCAGGGACTAGTTCGCAAAAGTAGGTTTTGTTTATATTGATGAATATTTAACGAACGGTGTAAGTGACAGCAGTGGTTTGAGTGTCAAACTGTTTGGTATGAGCAGGCATATCATATGATATGTATTTTGTGTGGTTGCGCAAAAGGTTGTGTGATACACAACCCATTACATACTAAAAATACGTAAAATCGCCCCCTAGTGGCCGATTTCTTTCAAAATTCTTACAGATCTCTAGGACCATGAGTCAACATGCCCAGCGAGTTTCGTTTCGATCACTCATCGTTAACCTTGTTAAATGGCTGCTCAATTTTAATTGGCCAATGGCGGCCATGTTTTTTGAGATATGCCAATGTCCTTATAGTATGTTATGACAACTTGGTCAAAGACACTGCATGCCAAATTTCAAGCTGATTGGACAAATGGCTGTAAGGTTAGAGTAATTTTTATGTTTTTTTAGCTTTATAGCGCCACCATGTGGCCAAAGTCTGCGGGTTTTGCAGAGTCACCTCAAATTGAGCTTATGCATGAGTGTACTAAGTTTGGTGATGATATCTCATTTCGTTCAAAAGTTATAGCTCAAATTAGCATTTAGCTTCAATTAGCATCGAACATTGTTGTGTACTGTTTCGAGTGAGAATAAAAATGTCAACTTTTTTTTGATAATTATTGATATTCAGTGTCCAGAGAACATTTGAGAACTGGTTTGGTTTAGATTGAGTGTAAAACCTAGGACTAGTTCGCAAAAGTAGGTTTCGGACAAATGGCGATGTAGCGGGAAAACGGTGCGTCGTAGAGCAAAAAGTTCAGCTGTGCACTTTTGTTGGGGCTAACCCAAGGAATGAAAAAATGTAAAGTTTTTGAGTCTACGACAAACGGTGAACGTATAGCGGGCAAAAATGTCCAAAATCTTGGTTTTTGGCGCCATAGCGCCACCTATGGTCCGATTTGGCTGATCTTTGGTGAGAATGTAGTGTACCGGGGTACTACGATCTGGCCAAGTTTCAGCTCTCTCGGCCTTACGGTTTGGTCTGGGCAATAGTGACTTCGGCAGAATAATAATAATAATAATAATAATAATAATAAAAATTTTAACAAAAACAATAGGGTTTCAGCGCTTCGCGCTTGACCCCCTAATTTTAACAAAAACAATAGGGTTTCAGCGCTTCGCGCTTGACCCCCTAATAATAATAACTTAAATTCCCTGACTTTCTAGTATCTAGAAAAGACTTTTTAAACTCCATGATTATGATAATAACAATAATAATAATAATAATAATAATAATAGTAATAATAAATGATGATGATGATGATAATAATGATGACAATAATAATAATAATAAATAACTTAAATTCCCTGACTTTAGTATCTAGAAAAGACTTTAAACTCCATGATTATGATAATAACAATAATAATAGTAATAATAATGATAATGATAATAATAATGATGACAATAATAATAATAATAATAAATAACTTATTCCCTGACTTTCTAGTATCTAGAAAAGACCTTTTAAATTCCATGATCATCATCATCATCATCATCATAATAATAAATATTATAAATATTAATATCAATAAAGAACATTGATAAATTGAAAGTAAATTTTAAAAACAACAATTTATTAACTTTAATTAATACAAATATCTTTAATTAAAAGAAATTAAATAAAAATAAGCCCTAATATTCCATGACCTGGACAAAAAATATTTATACCCTGACTCTCAAATTCCTGGAAAGATCTTTTGAAATTTCATGATAACACTAACAGTGACTTGATAAATGGAAAATAAAAATTGTTTATTTACCAAATCGAATTCCCTGGCTTTGATAAATTATACCGATACTAACAACTACCTTGATAAGCGGAAAGTAGAAATAGATATTAACAATTTATTAAATTTAAAAAAAAAAGAATATTCAATGACCCGGACAAATTAAATAAAAAAATTCCCTTTTTCAAATTAAAAGTCAATTTAATTTATTGATTTATTGACGGTTGAAAGTGATTTTAAAATCCCCTAATATTCCAGAAACTCCACAGATTCAGCTAAGAAGCTCTTCAGTGTTCTGCTGGAGAACAAACGTCTCCAACATATTAGATGACCTGAGGGTGAGCAAATTAACAGAATTAAAATTAGGGTGCAGCGCTGACTAAAAACAAGGTAGATTCACAAACAGCAGGAGCTGATGAAAGGCGCTCCTTCAGCAGACTCGGTCACAGTTGAAGGACTCCAGAATGATTAAATACTCAAAGTCACTCAACCAAGGCCAAAGTCTGGAATTTCAAGAGGGAATCCAGGCACCAGCACCGATTCAAATCTCCCAAAACTGCCCCCGGAGCAGAAGTGCTGCAGGCAGAGGGTCTTTGTTCGAGTGCCCTGACCCCGAAGAAAAGCCCCATTGAAGACTAGAAGGAGAACTTCTGATTTTAAGAGAATTCATTGTCCCCGTTGCTGTTATAGTGAGTCCAGTTTCATGGCTCTCAGCTCTAATAAGTCAACTCTGTAAGGAAATGGGCTGTTTTTTGGCTACAGTTGCTGCAGGAAGTTCCTGTGTGGGCTGGTGTCATTCCACACAATTTGTTTGCTTGCAAGGGTGGATTTAGTGATTTGGGGAAAATGAGCACTTCCAGCCATGTGGCCAACAGTCCTAATTAGAGCTGCATGATTCCGAAAATAATCTTGGGGGGGAAAAAAATAAATAATTATTTTTGCTTAATATATTGATCACGATTCTGTAGATGTAAAATAAAAGCTTAACATGAGTGGCTATTATTATTATTATTTTTTATCATATTTCACAAAAATAAGGTAAAACAACAACAATATTATGTGTGGGTCTACCCAAAGCACCCAGAGGAAAGTCTTACACCCATTTTTAAATATAAATTTAAATGTTGACTGCTTTCTTCAGTAAATAGTTTTTGTATTAACAAAAGATCATGTAAAGGGAAATAATTAGGTTATTATTATGAAGATATAAAATATAAAAAAATATATATTAAAAAATTAATAATAATAATCATAATAATAATATAAATAATATTAAATATCCATATAAAAAAAATACGTTTTATTAAGATGTATTGTATGGATGTCGGACCGACTAGGTAGCTTTACATGGACATGGGAACAATTAGAGCGGTTTAAAATGATTTAAGAACTAAAACAATATTTAAAACTTTACTCCTAAATATTTTGTTTTAAAAATTTATGTTGTTTTATAAATAAAATTTAAAATATAAATATTACCATTGATGTTGATCAAACACAGCAGAAACGCTTACATTTCTTCAAGTAGATGGTATCGGTTTGGTTCTTTTGGGTCCAGATCAAGTCTCCATCCACCCAGCACAGGGCGTCCGGAGTGCAGTTTGCGATTCCCGGGACGGTCACGTTCACCAGGTTCTGAAACAGACAGAAAATCCTCACAAACGGCACCTGATGGAAAGAAACACTCCCCCACCCCCCGTCTGAATCTTCTGCACTAGGGCTGCATGACACTAGAAAAATGTTGAGTATTGAAATAACAATATTATAATATAACATCCAGTAATGTTTACCATTTCTGTATTTTTGAAACCACGAATTAAACTAGAATTAATATATTTGTACATTTTAAACCCGTTAAACTTTACATAAGCTGAACGGACACTGGAAAAATGTGCAATGTTGTTCAGAATTGCAATCATGACATTTCTTAACATGTATTAGGGCTGACCATTATCTGGTTTCAGCATTGATAACGCAATGCCATCCTTCGCAATATTCATGTCGCAGGATACGCAATGTTGAACATGTATATTGGACTGGGATAGGCACTTGTGGAGATATGCATAGATGGATTTGCTCTTCAGTGTTTGGACTTTCAGGAGTGAAAATTAAACCACACTGAACTAAACTTCAATTCTGAAAACTGGACTGACACAGGTTTAAAAATGAGGTTTTCCACATGCAGAAGCTGGCTATTATAAACTACAGTATCACACTGGCAATGGTTATCTCAAATTATGCTGCACTGACGACATTTACAAGGCTTAATTCCAATTAACAAGCTGCCTTTTATTGCAGCCGTCTACGTAGTCAGCAAGGGAAGATGCTAGAGTATAGATAATGGATGTCCTCTACCTGGAAAGTTTCAGGAAATTAGATCATTAAAAAGAAAATCAGCTTGGATATCGTCATAAACACCATTTCTCTTGTGACTGCAGAGAATCAAACAAGCCTCGGCACAGTGAAGTGTTTTATCCAGTAATCCAGTTTCAGATTGCTCACCGTAATTTTTTCCGTTTTACACCAGATCTTGATCAAACTTTTGTTTCGGGCAGCAGGGTCTCCAGTGGCGATGTCACGAATCACAGAGGTGTCCAGCTGGAAGAGCAAAGACAAACGGTGTTCAGTAAATACAGTCATCAAGTAGAAAATTCATTAACATCACTACACACATGCGGCTCTATTCTAACGATCTAGACACAAAGCCCCTATGATACACCTGGTGCAATAAGGCGCAAGACGTGTTTCCACAATGTGTTGCTATTTTCAGACCAACGCAACAGCAATTTTCACGTTTCCTGCCATGTTGTTTAAATAGCAAATCCATTTGCGCTGCTTTGTGGACTCAAGGATGTTTTGGTCTAGAAAAGAGGTGTGTTAAGGCGCATTGTTGGCGCGTTGCTATTTTCATTCATTTTCTTGTCAGCTTAGTCCCTTTATTAATCTGGGGTCGCCAACTTATCCAGCAAGTTTTTACGCAGCGGATGCCCTTCCAGCTGCAACCCATCTCTGGGAAACATCCACACATACACTCACACTCATACACTACGGACAATTTATCTTACCCAATTCACCTGTACTGCATGTCTTTGGACTGTTGGGGAGCACCTGGAGGAAACCCACGCGAACACAGGGAGAACATGCAAACTCCACACAGGAATGCCAACTAAGCAGAGGATCGAACCAGCGACCTTATTGGTGTGAGGCGAACGTGCTACCCACTGCGCCACTGCGTTGCTATTTTGAGGAACTAAAATAGACTGTGCAATAGATCGACTGAAAGCAGGTCTAAAATCCAGCTCAGATCCTGTCAGTTGTGCACCTCGCTTACACATTGCTTAATACACGCAGAATGTAGCTAAGATTTGTCCACCTGTCAGGTTTTGGACCATATGGGGCATAGCATGCGTGTTCGGATCGAACTATATAATTTTGACCACACTTCTTAATTATGGTTAATTTATTCCTTTGCTGGAAATTAAAACCGAATTTAGAAAGAATTTTGAAACAAATCTTTGCACTAGAAGGAAATTATGTAGGCTAATGGACGTCTGTGCAAACAACACTTTTTGCCATCTACGAAAGGGAGAGTAATAGGCTGAATGAGGAGGTTCATTCTCTCATTCTTGCACTGCAGATGCTCTGTTTAACCGTTTTCCTGCTAGTGAAGTGTTCAGTTTTTACACTTAAGAGTCGCCAGTAAATAGCAAATGTGTCATGGAGCGAGGCAACCGACTCTTACAGGGAATGGGAGACGAGACTCTGATAAGCATGTATGATGCAAATCACACACAGTTGAAGTCAGAATTATTAGCCCCCCTGAATTTGTTCTGTAGACAATCCAAAACAAATACGGCTTAAGGGGGGGGGGTAATAATATGGACCTTAAAATTGGTTTAAAACTATTAAAAACTGCTTTTATTCTAGCCAAAATAAAATAAGACTTTCTCCAGAAGAAAAAAAATATTATAGGAAATACTGTGAGAAATTTTAGAATCTGATAAACATAATTTGGGAAATATTTGACAGAAAAAAAAATTCACGGGAAGGCAAATAATTTAGACTTCAACCGTTTATGTTCTAGCAGCAGCTACTCAGAGAAGCCAGAGATCTGTCATTACCGCGCAGGGGTTGACCTCACCTCAATGATGTTCTTGGTGAGCGGCTCTGTGATGACTTTCAGCAGGTCTGGAGCGTCTGCGCCCGTCTGGATGTTGAAGGAATCGATCACAAGTTTGGTGAGTCTGTAGAGCATCCCTGAGGCCACTTCCAGAGGCAGGAGCACCAGCACCGACAGCCAGTTGAAGAAGTCATGCACCGTCGCCCCCGCAAAAGCCCTGACCAAGACCAGCAAACGCGTTTCCATCTCCCATCATTTGCATTAAACCTTCACACAAGTCCAAAACCACCTCACGCAAGTCAAAGTTTAGCTATTTCTTTAGTCTGATTACCTGCGAAACTCATTGCGGTCTCCAGCTTGCATCACAGCCACAATAGTGTTTGTTACTGAAGTGCCGATATTTGCACCCATGATGATAGGCACTGCTGACTTCACCTCCAGCACTGAAACAAACAAGAGAAATAATGTACACACTACTCTACATCAGCAGTCCCCAAAAAGAGGGACACCATAACAGGACGGGGGGGTTAAAATTGCAATCAGCTCTTAAGATTTTTGTCTCTGCAGATTACAACTCCTGGGATACGGCACAGCAATAGCCTCAGTTTAGGCAGATCTGTTTTATGGTTTAAGTTAAACAGTGTCCGTGAGTGTGTTTAAGTACAGGTGTGAGTGCATGTGTGCAAGTACGCGTGTGCGTGTGTGTGTGTGAGAGAGAGAGAGTAGAGAGAAACACACTCACATCCAGACGATACCATGCTGACCACGATGGAGGAGGAGGTGCTGGAGCTCTGGACTAGAACCGTGACCAGCACCCCGATCACCAGCCCGGCCACAGGGTTGGACAGCACCGCATTATCTTTAAAGATGTCCCCCGCTGCCTTCCCTGCGCACAGACACAACAGCGGAGTTATTTCTGCTCCATGATAACAGCACTCACTATTTATTAACCAGGGTTAACTGGGGTATGTGTGCGTGTCCTGATAAGCTGCCATCTGTGTGGACCCAGTCAACTTTGACATACAATAGATCAGACACTTTAACCCATTTTTCTCTATTTGAACACGGTTTATGGTGTGAAATATGATGAATATCATCACCGAGCATAGTTCTTGTGAAGTTGAGTAGATTAAAAGTACTGAGTAAATCTGTAGTATAGTATTGTGAAGTATACTTTGCTCTACCTGCTGATTAAAACTGATTAAACCAGCCTAGGCTGGGTGACTTGTTTTAGCTGGTTGACCAGCATGGTTTAAGAGGAGTTTTGGTCACTTCCAGCCTGGTCTTAGCTGGTCAGACTGGAAAATGACCAGCTAAAACCAGTTTGACCAGTTTGGTTTAAGCTGGACATAGCTGGTTTTAGCTGGCCTCTTAGCCTGGCTAGGCTGATCAAGGTCATTTTAGCTGGTCATCTCCCAGCCTGACCAGCTAAAACCAGCCTGGAAATGGCCAAAACCCCTCTAAAACCAGGCTGGTTGACCTGATAAAACCAGCCAACCGGCCTAGGCTGGTTTAGTTGGATTTTTCAGCAGGGCTTTGTCTAAATGCAATTTTAATGTTAATTAAAAGTGCAAGAAAGACGTAAAACATCCAGATTTCAAACCTTTACACTAATGTACAGCATAACGTTTAACATTAGCACAATTCCAGAGCTACAAAAACAGACTTCCAGAAAGATGATGAAGTTTAGAGAGTGAAGTTGGTCTAACGCAGAGGTGACCAAACTCTGTCCTAGGATGCCCAGTGTCCTGGAGAGTTTAGCTCCAACCCTAATCAAACACACCTGAACCAGCTTATCAAGCTTTTACTAGATACACTAGAAACTTCCTGGCAGGTGTGTTGAAGCAAGTTGGAGATAAACTCTCCAGGACATCGGCCCTCCAGGACCGAGTTTGGACACCCCAGGTCCAACGGTTACCTCAGACCAGCGGTCTGGTAACTTAAAGCATGCTAACGTTAAAACAAATCACGTCTTCGTGGGAAAATGGCCTCAAGTTTTACCCTCCAAGTGTTTTTTTTTAATATATTAAACTTTAACACGCTTTTCACAAAGATTTGCTTCGACTTTTTGTGTTGATCAAAAGCGAAAAAAGTCAAATGTCCGAGCGTCGATCTTCACACTAGCACAGTAACGTTAGTTTAGCTTAGCACAATCCCAGCGCTACAAAGCCAACTCCAACAAAGGACTTCCAGAGAAGACTTGGAGAAAAGTTGTTAATGAAAAAAGAAAGTACCTCCGACCAGCTGGAAAGCAGAGCTGAGGATGTCCAGGGAGCAGACGAACATGTAGAGCAGGCCGAGCAGCAGCAGCAACTTCAGGACAGAGGTGCAGACCCGCAGGACCTTTCCGCGCCGGTCCAACTCTGCGGGAAACAGAGAGCCTTACAGCGGCCACCAGCAGCTATTCGCCCACCCCGGAGGATGGAGCTGAAGATGGGTATTATATTCACACGTTCAATAATTTTTAACATGGCCCTCTATTGTTTATCAAGATACTTTTGAATAAATTGGGTGTGAAATCGCGCGAAAGTATGACTTCAAAACAACAAAAGCACTATTTAATTGACTGAATGTTAATGGTCACTGGCTGATAATATAACGTTAACGTTAGTAGCATGCTCTAAATACAGTTCATGTGTTATATTATGGTGTGAGATTATGTTGATTGTGTAATGTAAAGCTTTAGGGCTGGGTATTGTTGGGATTTTGGGGTAAAGAGAGTCTGCGCACTCGTGGGGTCCTAAAAAGGTAACGTTATGGGGTTTTTTTTAGGAGCGCTGAGTTGTTTGTTTCGGGCGAGCCAAAGCAACGTTATGCTCCAATTTTTACAGCCCATGGTTTAAAACAGTGCAAAAGTCCATTAAAAGATGAAGTTTGAACTGTAAAACGCTTCATGACCTTCTTCAAAATATTACAATATGATTCCCAATTTAGAATTTGCAATACTTGCATGAAACAATATTATTTAGGAGAAAGTATGAAACAAACTTTACTTCTTACCTGACCACTTCACCCCGGTGTCCAGGAGCTCCGGCAGCTCCCACGGGTCCACCTCTTCCTCCTGCTCCGGCTCCCACTGCTGCGCGGGCCAGGGACTGAGGGTGCGCGTCGGGGTTTGGGGCTCATGTTTGTCCGCGTCCGCTCCTGGAGGAGAACCAGAGATTCAGACTGACACGCAGCTCAACAGAAGCGCACAGGCGGAAGGAAGTGCGCCTCTGAGCAGACGCGGATTTATAGCAGATCCTACCGAGTTCCGGTGGCGGCGAGGCGGGATGAGTCTCAGCCAGAGGAGCCATCAGCCTGCATTTACACAAAAAACATACTAACTGATATTTGGTCAAGATAAGGTTTTATTTTTGTCACCTAAGCGATTTATTTATTTGTATGTTTGTTTGTTTTTTTGTGTGTGTGTTTAAGTAGTTTGTTCTAGTGCTGGGAAAAGATTAATCACGAATAAATCACATCCAAAATAAAAGTTTGTGTATATATAATATATATACACTGTAAAACCCAAAAAAGTGAAGGTAACTCAAACCATTTGAGGAGGAAACCGATTGCAACAAACCATTTAAGTTCAAAATCGAATGCTAATAAGTACTGTGAACTTAATCCATTTGAGTAAATGAAGCAATTTGAGCACAGTAAAACCCAATAAATGAAGAGAACTCAAACCAACTGAGTACTGTAAAACCCAGTCAGTTAAGGCAACTCCAACCGCATGTGGAAACCAATTGTTACAAACCGTTTGAGTTAAAAACTAATGTATATGAGTACTGTGAACTTACTCCATTTAAGATGAAGTAATGAGGTATTTAATTAACTTTCAAAACTCGTTTCAAATGAGTAGAACTAACTTTCACTAAATTTTGAGTTAACTACACTCATTTGACAAAGTTGACTGTTGAGTTTGACAGTGTACATACATACACACACACACACACACACACACACACACACACACATATATATATATATATATATATATATATATATATATATATATATATATATATATATATACACACACATATATTCTTTGCTCAGCACTGATTTGTTTGTTTTATTGAGCAAAAAGTGGTTAAAAAGTTTGACACAAAACAAAACTCTCAAGCTGAAAAGTTTTTTTTTTTTTACGTTTCTTTCTCATTTAGAAGGCAGTAATTAAAAACATTGACCAAAAAGTTAAAGCGAAAGTTCAACAAAAAAAAAAATAATTTACTCGTGTGGTTTCAAAACTTTATATCGTTTTCTGTAAAGATGTTTCGAAGAAAACAAATATTGTCCATGGTAACAGGTTTTTAACATTCTTCAAAATATCTTCTTTTGTGTTCAACAGAAGAAAGAAACTCAAACTGCTCTGCAATAAGAAAAGGATGAATAAATTATGACATGATTTTTATTTTGAGCTGAACTATCCCTTTGAAATGCAAAGGATAGAGTAATAGATAAACTTATGCAAAAAAAAAGTTTTAGTTCAGATAAATGATAAGAAAGGAATGTTTAAAGGCTCTAAGTAGTTTAACATTCTCACCAGTCAGCCCCAGAATTGGAGGACTGACTTGAAATTTTATATATGGTACATGGATGTATAGTTTGTCGAGATTAGGCATGGGCCGGAAAGTTTCTGACGGTATGAAAACCTTGGATAAAAATATCACGGTACCACTGCTCTAAAATACTGTATATTCTTTTAAAGCTTGTGTAAAAAAATTACAACTTTTTCCCTCTTGAACACAATATATTTTATTTTGAGAAACATTTATAATATTTTGGAGCTGTAAACAAGTCAGGCTAAACAATTCAAGTGAATCATTCACTTCTGCTGCCTTCATTAGTTTCAAAAACACTGATTTCTTTACCATTTAAAATGGCGTCTCTGTATATATTTTCTGCTGGAAATACTGTTGTAAAAACATAAATAAAAAATCTTACACCTTAGAAACGGTATAGCAGAAAAGTTTGGTGGTTTTGGAAACGGTTATCTTTCCATGCCTAGACAAGATATGTTTGTTTTTTTTATGTTAAACAAAACATCTTATTTAGATATCAGTGATTAAATACAATAAACAGTTTAAAACAAAAATGTAAATATTCACAAAAAGATCTGATTTAGAAAGCGGTGATTTAAACATTATTTACATGGAAAGATCAAGCACTGATTAAACAAGTTAAAAATGCACAAATGTAAACAAAAATAGATCTTATTTTTGAAATCATGCAGTGATTAAAACAATAAAAATTAAATAAAAGATAAATATTACCATAAAAAGTCTTATTTAGAAAGCAGTGATTAAAACAATACAACGTAAAAGTAAGTATATAATAACATAGGATCATTTTATTTAGAAAGCAACTATTAAAGCAATAAACAGTTAAACATATCTAAATATAAACATTAAAGGTCATATTAAGAAACCATGCAGTGATTACAAACAATAAAAGTAAATATTAACATAAACCATCTTATATAGAACACAGCGATTAAAACAATAAGAAAATATCAACAATAAAACACGCTATTTAATAAACAGTTTCCATAAAAATGCATGCAACATCTTATTTCTAAAGCAATAAACAGTTTGATGCAGTAAAATGCAAAGCAAAGCAGTCTCACCTGTGGTTTATGCTGGATTATTACTGTGTTATACTGTCTCTCAGCTTTTATAATGTGTTAATATCCCACTCTGTTTACTGATTTAAATACTGAGCAATCTGTCAGCAGACCACTTGCACATCAATATTGCCAGCACAAAGTGAAGTCATAGTTTAATCAGAGTTATTAAGCAGCTCTCCCTCACACTCCAGATGAGACACGAAACACACTCAGAGACTAACACTACACCCAATGCTCGACATAAAAGCAGGATCAACACGTCAAAGTAAAAATGTGAACACACAAACTTCTGTCTCATTTAGAGAGCGCTCAGAGACTAAAAACTTAAAGCAAACAGTACACACAAAAGTAACTGCGAGTTTAGAAGGTGATTCAGAAAGCTTCTGAATTCATGTTTAAGAGCCATGCACAAGCAAATCCACACACACACCGCTCTATTAAACCGGAGGAGTAAAAGCAGAGAGATGTTTCTGTTCTTACCTGAGCTGTGAGAGTGTGTGATGCACCTGTGCAGGTGGAGGAGGAGCTTATATACTCCTGCAGCAGGACACACACACTGATCTAAAGTCCACAGCAGCGGGTGGATCTTCAGAGCATCTCAGACACACACACACACACACACACACACGAATGTAGACACACACATAAACAGACACGCTCTCACACAAGGTGATGTACTCTAAAATAAACGTGCAAATTAATCTCTCATTAAACATTTTAATAAATTGAGAAGCGTCCTTGTTAAATCTTTTCAACTAAAGTGTTGGAGAGGTTTATTTTATCTAGAAGGAGAGAGGGAGAATCTAATATAAACCAGCAGAGTGACCTCTTTCTCTCTTGAGTTGTGGATGAAATAGGATTATAATTATTCATTCATTTTTTTGTCGGCTTAGTCCCTTTATTAATCCGGGGTCACCACAGCAGAATGAACCGCCAACTTATCCAGCACATTTTTATGCAGCGGATGCCCTTCCAGCTGCAACCCATCTCTGGGAAACATTCACACACACACTCATACACTACGGACAATTTAGCCTACTCAATTCACCTGTAATGCATGTCATTGGACTGTAGGGGAAACCAGAGCACCCGAAGGAAACCCACGCGAACGCAGGGAGAACATGCAAACTCCACACAGAAACGCCAACTGAGCCGAGGATCCAACCAGCAACCCAGCGACCTTCTTGCTGTGAGTCGACAGCACTACCTACTGCGCCACTGCGTCGCCGGAATTATAATTATACAGCTATAATGTCAAAGAAAACACAGCCATGAATTAATATCAGCCTCTGTGACGTGTGCTTTCACTCTAGAAAAGATCTGAGTGATATGACACCATGCATAAACATGCATTAAACACTCATAGCAAACACTACAGAATACACAAGACATGCCACTCATATACAGATGAAGTCAGAATTATTCACCCCCCTGTTTATTTTTACCCCAATTTCTGTTTAACAGAGAGATTTTTCCAACACATTTCTAAACATAATTGCTTTAACTCATCTCTAATAACTGATTTATTCTCTCTTCATCATGTTGACAGTAAATAATATTAGACTAGATATTCTTCAAGACACTTCTATACAGCTTAAAGTGACATTTAAAGGCTTCACTAGGGTAATTAGGGTAATTAGGCAGGTTAGGGTAATTAGGCAAGTTATTGTACAATGATGGTTTGTTCTGTAGACTATCGAATCAAAATATAAATGTAAATATAAGTCTTTTTTATTTTTATTTTTTAAGAAAGTGTTGATTAAAAGCTTAAAAACAACTTAAAACATTCACCGTAAAAAGTCAAAACTTAAACAAATTACTTCGACTTGTTACAATTAAATGAAGTAAGTTTGGCAAACTTAATTTCTGACAGTTTTCAGTGATAAATTTCAGTACAAATTTTAGTAATTTATTTAAGAAAACAAGACTGGAACAGTACTAACAGTACAGTACAAATCATTCAATTTAATATTGTTAATATAGTAATAATAGGGTATATGCCGAAGCATGCTAATGGGACTTTTAATTTGCCAGTAATCTGGGTTAAGCGCTTCCGGCGAACTGTATGCAATGGAAAAACCGGCGCGTTTAAGGTCTGTTTTCTTTCAAAATCAGCGATCTCCATTAGCTGAGTGATATCCGATATAAAGCGGGTCTCAGATTGTGAAAGAAGCACTGCATTACATTACATTTTCCCCTGCCGTGTCTTTGTAATATGAGCATTTATTTTACCTCAGTATATTCAATGGAGCTTCTGCTCTAACTTGCCGATTCTGACGGGTGCGTGCGAGTAAACGGCTTTTTGTCTCGTTTTACGCTTGAGCAACTAAATGAATGCCAGAGTTTATTTAACTGAATGTATTTTATGACATTACAACATCGATGCTGTAAAAGGAACCGTATAAAATGGAAAAAATTCACAAAAACAGGTCACCGGAAGTTTCTCAGCATGGGAAAAACACTAGCTCGGCATATAACCCAAAGTAAAATAATTTTATTACAATACAAATAATTCCCCTTCCATGTTAGTATAAAAATAACACTTTATGTTTTGTGGCAAATACAAGTATTGCTCATTATTGACAGTGAACAACACATAAACTTGCCATAAATTAATTACTAAAACTTGTTACACCTAAAATAACAAACAGAATTTATTACTAAAAACTGTCATAAAATAAGTTTGTCAAATTTAATTCATTTACAACAAGTAATTTGTTTCCACTGTGTACAGTGCACTGTGAAAAATCTGTAAAATTTACTCAGTTTTAGCCAACCCAGGCTCATTCTGAAAACGTACATCTGTATACATTTCTGGAGAGCAGCAAATACATCCCAGGAGGAACCTTCCCTAAACCCAACTGACAGTGTTTACAGAAGCAATGCAGAAAAAGAAAAGCCCTGGCAGCCACCTGATTTCGACCACGTTTTCAGATTTTACCACATTCTCACCGTATTATCATGTTGATATTATTAATTTAAATGTACTTACAGTCAAAGTCTAAATATTTGCCCCCTGAATTATTCCCCTTCCTGTTTATTTTTTTACCCCAATTTCAGTTTAACTGAGAGCAGATTTCTTCAGCACCTTTCTAATCATAATCATTTTAATAACTTATTACTAATAACTGATTTATTTTCTCTTTGTCATGATGACAGTATATAATATTGGACTAGATATTCTTCAAGACACTTCAATACAGCTTAGGTTAATAATTAGGCAGGTTAGGGTAATTAGGCATGTTGTTGTATAATGATGTATACAACTGTAGACTGTATTCTGTAGACTATCAAAAAAAAAAAATAGCTTAAAGGGGCGAATAATATTGACCTTATGATGGTGTTAAAAAAATAAAAAACTTCTTTTATTCTAACCGAAATAAAACAAATAAGACTTTCTCCAGAAGAACAAATATTATCAGACATACTGTGAACATTTGCTGAATCTGTTCAACATCATTTGGGAAATATTTACAAAAGAAAAAAATCTTCAACTGTATAGACAGTTTATTTAACAAAAGTGACTTTTAGTGTAATTTCTAATAGTTTGAAATAATATTCAGCATGAGAAACACTATTTATGGAAACACATCTGTAAAAGCAGCTCATTACCTGGTGTTTGTACCATAATTTGCTTGAGCAACCCAGGCAATATATCACCCCCGACAACTAATAATGTCAATAAAAGTCACCTTTTAAACTTTTCAACATCAAAAGTTGTCAGAACAGAGATCAAGGACACGTTACACAATTCAGAAGTGAAAATCACGGAAAAACAAACAAGAATTATGGGCTCTTGGAAAATGTTAATCAAACTAAAAATAAAAAATAAATACAATTTACAATATATATATATATATTATATATATATATATATACAATATAGACGTTTAATTAGCTCATTCTAAATTGAAGAAACTGAAAGAACTCAATTTTTTCTTGTTAAACAGAATTTTTTAAACAACATTTTATGCAACGATTATAAAAGAAAGAAAGAAAAAAATCATGAGAATAATATTGAATATCTGCTGTAGCTTTTATTGCAGATCTGATTAAACATGCAGTTAATCATCATATAAACTGAAGCACAGTCCCTGTTAATATTACTGTGAAAGCAAGAAACAAATAAATGATATAGTATTAGAATAAATCCATCAAGCAAGAGCTGCACTGTGAACTCAAATTAAAACATTAAGCCAGTTTCGATATTTAAGTCATTAAAAATATAGATATGACAGCAATATGAATAGTTATAGATTTATTTTGAAAGTACACACTCATTTTCAGTGGATTTTTTTCTTCTTGCTTATTTTATCTTTATGATATTAGATAAAAACGTCATATGAAAGTAAGATGCTCATTGTACTACTCGAACTAGCTAAAAATTAAACGTAATAAGCAGCGTTTGTTGTTTTCACCTCAACAGTAAAATAATTGAGATAAACGCTTAATGAGCTTATCTGCGGGTTCACCGGGTGTGTGGTAATGTCATAAACCTGAAGAGACGAGATGATGTTATAATAAACCATCAGCTCACTCCAACAAGGCAAAGGCTGATGTGTAATAACAACACAAAGCTTTTCATGCCTGCAAATCTCCACACCCATCTGTATTTTCCCAGTATTATGGCATTTTGCATGTTATACTCTGTAAAAAGCGATTAGTTATACTTTGAAAAAATCTTTGCGTTAAAAATAACAAGCTACAGCTAATGTACTGCACCAGCCGCTCATCTCCCCTCATCTCCTGAGACAAGCCGGTGTCCAACGAGTCTGCATAAGGAAGAGGAGAGTGAAATAAGGAGCATGCAGTAGCGTGAGACCGGCCGACCTCAACATTGCCAGCTCTGTCTTCAGGTCACTTCCACTCACTGCTGAAGGTGAATATATCCTAGATAAAAGTCAATTTTAGGGGCCGAGACAATTGGGCTGGCCCAATCACTGCGGGATTACCCCCATATCCAGCTTGTTTTTTTTAATTTCTCCTGAATCATTTTTTTGAGGGCAACTACAACAATCACAATCCAGGTTGACACAATCCAGCATTCTCAGAATATTCAGCATAGATAAGATGATCTTGAACACAAAGTCTGTGTAAAAGTTACACATTTACAATAGTTGTGTTATCATTCTGGCACAATAAGAGGATTTTAAGTGCATGATTACGCTGGTATCTATGTTTGCCATGAGTGTCCCTCTTTGCAGACGTAATATTGAGCAAAACAAATCCTCTCCTGCACTCTCAGAAATAACCGTGAGCTGTCACTGGGGGGGGTACCTTTTCAATATGTACACATTTGTACTTATAGGGTCGATATTGGTACCTCAAAAGTATATATTAGTACCTAAAAATTTTAAGAGGAACACTTTTGTACTTTTAGGTACTAATATGTACCCTTGAGGTATTAATATGGACCTTTTAGGTAGCCATTTGTACCTTTTGAAAAGGTACCA